GAGAACCGACTTTTCCAGATTTACCTTTTTGAACACTTTGGTTCATGCCAAAAAAATATTAAGAGAAAACTGTAATTTACACCTGCTTTGTGGGTGTCAGTGAGGTGCTTCTTTGCGTCTCTGTTTCCACCTCTGCTTTGCTTTGCTGCTTGTTGTTTTCCCGTTTCTCCTTGGTCAGTGTTTTTTTTGGGTAGCTTCTGTCTGGAAAAAAAAAAAAAAAAGAAAAGAAAAGTAATCTGTGTTGGTTTCCTGGGCAATTTCTCTGTTTTTGTAACTGGTTCCTATTAACGGTTTAGAGATGAATCTCAGGAATCTGGAGCTGAGCTGCTTCCCAGCCAAAGGGGGTGTTTAAATTTTGTGCCATCCAAGGATGCTGGACTGCAGGAACCACAGAGCTTTGGAGGTGCTGATGGCAGAGGGTGCAGACAGGGCTGTGACCTGGTGTGAGGACAGCAGTGCTGGAAGAACACACAAACACGTTAATCCCTTCAGCCAGAGCAGTTTGCAGAGCTTGGATGCTGCAGTTTAACCCCTCATTTTGTGCACGGCCAGGTCTCTCCTGGGCAATCTGCACAGCTCAGCAGGTTAAGCAGATCAAAAACCTCTCAGCATTCCAGCTCACTGCATACCTTGCATACCTGGACAGTCCCATTAATTAATTTATGCTCCAATGCCTTGGGCACGGAGGGAAATAGAGCTTTCCAGGTGGAGATTCGAGAGAGGAAGAAGCTGAGGGAAGGACAGCCCCCAAAACCACGGAGTGTTCCTGGGAAACTTCATTTTGCTTCAAAATGGAGCCTCGAGCAGAGCCAGGGGAGGTTTGGGTTGGACACCAGGAAGAATTTCTTCCTGGAAAGAGTGGTCAGGCCTTGGAAGGGGCTGCCCAGGGAGGTGGTGGAGTCCCCACCCCTGGAGGTGTCCAAGGAAGGACTGGCCGTGGCACTCAGAGCTCTGGGCTGGGGGACAAGGTGGGCATCGGGCACAGGTTGGATTCCATGACCCTGGAAGTGTTTTCCAAGCTCAGTGATTCCGTGACTGTGTGATTCAGGAGTGCTTGGGCACAGCACAGCTCGGCCCCTCGCAGTGGCTGCCACTGTGGGGAGCTTTTGTGGCCTTCACCTTCCTCTGGTTGTGCTGGGGGTGTTATTAATTATTGCCAGGATATCATTTCATACACCCCCAGAACAAAGGGTGTCAGAGACCTGCCCTCCTCACACACCAGACCCGTGTTTGCCTCAGCAGCTGCACCTCAGGCTGGTGGTTACAGTGGACTCCAGTGATGTCAAACAAAGCAGAAAAACATCTGGCCAGACCTCCAACCTGTCATTCTGGACGTGCTCTTCAGAGAAGGCAAATCAGGGGCTTTGGTGTTCATGGCTGGGGAACAACAGTGGTAATGCTGGGGCTGGGAGGTGCAAGGCTTGTTACATCACTGCAGTAATGACAGGCTCCACTCCACAGCCCTGTTATTGTGGTTGGGTTTCAGTTTTGTCCTTTTGGTTCACAGCTCTTGCTCTAAGTTGGATTATTTCGGGCTTGCTCATGGGGTTCGTTGCAGCTGAAAGATTTATTTTGACGAGAAAAGCTTTGCAACCAAGTGAAAACCCCCTGTGGTAATTCCCATGGGCCTGGGTTACAGCTCTCTCCTCCATGAGCAGGCAGCTCTGAGGGCCCCCCTACCCCCTCCAGACCTTTCTTAGGATGAGGGAGTGAATGTGGGTGGGTATTTATCCCTCTAGGTGTTATAGGTTGATCACAGTGAAGATAAATGAAGATAACTAGAAGATAAATGGTGTCAGTGAACACTGACCCTGACCTGCAGAGCCCCTGCCTTTCTCCCTTTTGCTGTTCCCATGCAAAGCTCTATTCCTGCCTGGTTTTGGGGTTGAGGGATCCCTGCTGCCTTTGCCACTGTACCTGTCAATCAGCTGTTCTCTTGTACTCTTTATTCCCGAGCTACTTCACAGTTCTAGGAATTATCCTTGCTCCTTCCCATGGGTAGGTATTTTCTCCTTTCCTTTCATCATGGCAGAGCACTGTGGGTCCTGTATTTACAGAAGATCTGAAGAAGTTGTTGATAATAAGCCTGGAGTGGTGACAAATCCTGTCCATAAGGCCTTGTACTGTAATTTATGTCAACAGATCATTAATCCTGGCATTCCTTTTTAATACATGTATTTATAGCTGTGAAGGTGGGGGGGAAGTGACTACTTCCACTCCTGCTTCCCGGGGTTAGTGGCCCTCAAAATTGCAATAAAGGCTGGAGGGTCCCTCTTGGCATCACACCTTCTTCCTGATCTGACACTTGCTCGGTTTTTCTGACTGGTGGTTTTCAGCTCAGATTTATTGGGAGATCTTCCAGGGCAGCCTGAAACCCAAAATGTTAAAAATGGAAGAGGTGGGGAGGAGGAAACTTCCTGGCAGATTTTAGTCTTGTGAGCCCTGCGCTGCCTTTTGGCTTGTCCACCTGAGTCCCCACATTTTGTGTCTGAAATAGATGGGAAATACCTATTTTCTAGTGCCCTAATATTTCATCTCTGAATTAGGGGCAACTCTGGGAGCCTTTCTGCTCCTGCTGGGCTGGTCTGGGGGTGAGGGTGGCAGGTGCAGAGCCTGCAAAACCACAGCAGAGCTGCTGGGAGGTGCCTTTCCCTCGCCTGGATGAGGTTGTTTGCTTTGGTCAGGCTTTGTGGTGAGAGCAGGCAGCTGTCTGGGAGGCAGTGGGCGGCCAAGGGATGGTGCTTGTTGTGAGAATCGATACCCAAACTCCTCTGGGAGTGAGGGAGGAGGAGGGTTGGGGAGCACTGCACTGCTCAGCCTCTGTGGAGAATCTGCTTAAAAATTCAGCTCCTGACCAGGCAAAATGTTGACACAGCTGCTCTTCCAGGATTTCTTTGGAGTAGCAAAGCTCTAGGAAGCAGGGGCTGTGCAGAATTAGAGCGAGGAAAAGGCAGAGATCAGCAAAACAGGCTCCTGTGTCCCTTTGCTCCTCTCTTTGTGGACCCCAGAGAAGCTGTTGCTCTTCCCTTCCAGCGGGCGATTTTCTTTAGGAGACTTCAGCGGGTTCAGCCTGGACTTGGCTCCTCTCAGTCAGGAAATATCCAGTTCATGACAGCAGCAACCACAGCAATCTGCATCCCTCCCAGCAGCCCTGCAAGGACCAGGCAGTAACCTCTGCAGTGCCAAAGCCAGGAGAGGGAAAGGTGGAGAAGCAACGTGGGATTGCAGCCTGGAAGGTTCTGACTGAGGCTGAGAGAAACCGAGGGAGGAGAGGGTTTGCTGGGTTTGCTGCCTGTGCCCTGGGAACAGCTCTTTGCCTCCCAGCCAAACATTTCCAGCCTCTGCTCTGACGCAGCTGGACAAAGGGCTGTCACATTTGAGCCTGGTCTGGCTCCCTGGGCTCACAGAGACAGCGGGAAAGGCTCCTTCTTCCATGAGATTCCTGGCTCAGCAGCAGCCCAGCACCTCAGCTGCTCTGGGCCAGGCTCTGCTGTGACACCTGAGAACCTGGCAGCAGGTTTGCCCCTCAGGGACACGGGGGATCAGGAGCCTTTGCTGCACGTGGGTGGTTATGGAATTGGACTCGTGGGAATTCCTGAGGCTTGCAAAGGCGAGCTGATGGGTTCGGAAAGGGTCATAATCAGGCTGGACCTGTGGACACAGAGGTGGTGACACAGCTCAGGTGATGAGTGTGGGAATGTGGAGTGAGGGACTGTTTGTGCCTCGTTCCCCCCAAACCTCCCCACTTCCCAGAAGTGCCAGAGTTGGAGTTTGCAGGGAAATTTTGGGGGGTTTTTAGCTGAAGGTTATTTTAGAATTTTTCCCTAGAACCAAACCAGCAGTTTTCTGGATCTGTTTTGGACAGTGGGGAGAACTTGCTGGAGTTAACAGCAGGCTCTTTTCATGGTCATATTATATAATAATAATAATAATATTAATAGCTCCAGTTTCTTGGAATTTCTTTGGAAGTATCTGGTTCTGTCTGCTGCTGCAGACAGGATCCTGGACTAGGTGAAGTTCTGATCTAGACTGGATGCTTCCCGAGTTCCATGGTTGCAGTATATAATTATTTAGATGTTTATTTAGGGTTTTGCTGTAATTATAATGCCTTCCACTTTCCTGAAACACTTTCCCCTTGGGATAGAGGAAATCTATTTTCTGGTGTAGTAGAGAGACAGAAAAATGTCAGGAGGAAAAATCCAAGTGGGGCAATTAAGTTTATTCCCATGGATGCCATGGGAAGGCTTGTTTTTAAACTTTGCTATAGAGTCCCACATACATTTAGCTTTGATCTACAGACAGGCATTTAAAAACAATAAGTTTTAATTCCCTTTCCCCAACGTTTTCCACTTGATGACTAATTTGATTTTGTTGTTAAATTCACTAAATGGTGTTCACAACAAACAACACCAATCTAACAACAGAATGCAGGAAAACAGAAAAATTTACCATATTTTTTTTTTTAACATATACTAACAGCAGCTACACTATTTCCTGACTTAATACTCATTGTAATTTTCTTGCAAGCCTTGCATTAAAAGACTCCTGGCTAATTCAGTCACCTGCATGGATTAGGTTGTTAGGCCTTATTATCCTTTTGCTGCTCTCCAGCCCTCGCTTACAAATTACAGGACAGAGTAAATGTTGTTTTCTAGGTTGTCTTTGGAGACTTGAGCTTGAAGTAAAACCATATGAGGAGACAAAGATCAAAAAACCATGGAAGGCAGCAGAATAAATCCAGTCTCAAGCAGACAGCTGGATGAGTGTCAAACAAAGGCAGGAACAGCTGGATCAAGTAAAGCCCGAGGAAAATTAGTTCCATCCCAAGGGGGAGGGAGGAAGATTGTTCTGTGAGCCCAGAGCTGTGTGGGACCAACTTCACCCGATAAAACTTTCACATCAAAGTCAGGGGCAGATCAGAAAGACCCAGAGGGAGGGGAAAGGGAAGAGAGGGAGTTCAGAGGGATCTGCAGAAAGCGCGAGGGAAGGGAAGGAGGTGGAGTGAGAGGGGAGGTGGGGAGTTGGAAGTTGGGAGGTGGAGTAATTCTGCAGAATATGAGCTGCTGTCCACAGCTTTCTGGATGTAAATTGATGAGGTCATAGTGTTTTCCAGTTACAGAAAAAAAAAGTTAAGGAAAAAAAGAAAGTCTTCAACTTGTTTTTCAAGAGAGACGAAAACACGGAGGAGCCGAAGAAATGGAGCAACTCGTGAAACTCCTCCTGTGGCACATTTTGCTTCAGCAAAGTGAGTTCTGAGCTGTTGCTTGGTCGTGCTGCAGCTGCAGAGGATGGGGCTGGAGGTTTGCTGGGAGGTTTGGAACTGTTATATTTGTAAGATTGTGTTCAGATTCCTGAGTTAGCTGTGTTTTCGTCCGTGGAGGGGAGGGAATCATGGATTTCTCCTGCTTTTTTTGGGGAGAGAGTGGAGAAATGTTTGAGGCTGTTGAAGCAGTGCTCTGTTCAGCATGTTTGTGCAATCTGCTTTTTCCTATCAGTTACCCTGATCAGCAGATTCAAAAACAATAAGCTTCAGTGTGTGAGTACAGTAAATCTCACACAGCAAGACTTACAGGATGCAAAGTTATTTTGTACTTTTGAAGCAGCAAAAACAGCTGCTGTGTGTGTGTGTTTGAGTGTTCAGATGGAGCTAAAAAATGATGTGTGGGGTTTTTTTGGGGGGGTGTTGTTTTTCTCCTGTCAGCAAAAAGACAGACACAGGAATTCACTTTTGGGTAAGGTGCAAGAAAGGGATGGGGACAAATCTGATGAGCTTAAAATAACAGAATGGCTCGTACCTTTCCCTTAATCACAGTTTTCTGTAGGAGCTGAAAGCAGATTCATTGTCCCCAAGACAACAGAGACACCCCAATAAGGCTTGGGTGGCAGGAGGGGATTTAAGTATTAATTGCAAAGCCCCAGCACATCCACACCTGCAACACTTTGGGCTCTGAGGAAGGTACCTGTGAGCAAAGGACCAAACACAGCACCAAGAACAGTGTGGAGAGACTTCTTTCAGGGTGCTGGGAGTAGGAAGTGAGGAGCACAAGCTTTGTGGGGACTGGTGACCCCTTGCTCCTCCCAGCCCTGTTGGTGAAAGGCAGTGGCTGAACACCTGAGCCCCTCAAAACTCCTCAGCTCTGAGTGGGGGGAAGGTGAGGAGTTCTCAGTTTGGCCTTTGATTAATCCAGTTTCCATGTCATCCCCATGCCTGCAATGCCTCAGGGCAATAAATTGGCAATTTATGGGCTCAGTCGTAGGGACAGAAAGGGTGAAGTGGCTCAGCAAAGGAGTGTGTGGGGTGGGTTAAGGGGAAGGAGGAGAGGTCACATCTTGTATTCCAGGATCACCAGCCAGTCCAGCGACTCCCCAGCGAGGTTCAGCATGTTGGCAGAGCTCGGGGAGCACCCAGGGCAGGAATAGCAGGTTGGGCTGCTGCAAAGCTGTGGGGAGGCAAAGGTGTCCCACCTGAGGAGGGATATCTCTGACAGACTCCTCGGGTGTGTTTTGGAGATGAGCTGTCCCCGTGCCAGGCTGCCCTGACTTTTGAGTCCTGCTGTCCCCAAACCAACCAGGCTGTGACACAATGAGTGAAGAGGGGCAGGGAGGAAATCTGAGATGGTCCCTCCTGGAGAGGCACCACACCCTCAAGTGTTAATGTCTGGCAGGGAGGAGGAACAGCTCCGTGTTTGGAGTGGCTCCACGAGCCCTTCCGTGGGCCTGGAGCCAAGGTGAAGCACACAGAGCAGGGAAGGGTTTCTGAAGCTGAGCTCACATCTGAGCTGCCCGTCAGAAAGTTTGGGCAGATCTCTGAGGGATCCTGTCCGTGGGCCTAGAGGGGGATTGGCTTCTTGTCCAGACACAAGGCTTTTCCCTTTCTGCAGAGGCAGCACATTCCTGCTCTGTGCTGACTCAGGGGCATGTTCCTACCTGCAGGGAGGTGTTGGAATTGTTGGGGCTGGCTGGGTGGTTGAGGGCTCTGCAGCCCTGACATCCTCTTTGAAAGCAGAAAACTCTGCTCTTGGGAAAATTGTCCCAGGAAGCCTTCAAAAATAAACAGACACAGAGACTTTGATAAAAGCTCAGTTCAAAGCCTGGCTTGGCCATCTGTGGGCTTTGAAAGGGAAATCTTGTTTTACTGAAAAGCTTAGCCTTGCAGTCCCAGGCCAGTTTGGGGGCAGGTGGTAAATAGGAGCCTTGGTGGGACTGCACTGCTCACCATCTCCCTCCTTTGCCTCTTTGAGATGTTTTTCCCTGTTGGTGGCCAGTGGTTTTTAAAAAAACTGGCTCCCAGAAGAGAACAGAACTCATTTGTTTGGCTGCCACCTTGGTGCTGCTGCATCATAAGCCATGATGGCCTCTGAGACACGGGGGCAGCTCCCCAGAGAGTCAGGATGGAGCCACTGCCAGTCCCCACAGGGTTTGGAAACAACTTGGTGGCTCAGGCTGCTGTTTCTGCAATAATTGTGGAATGGCTCTCCAGAGACCATTAAACCCCCTCTATAGACAATGGGATTTATGGGAGAAAGAAGGAGTCTGGCACATAGAGATTTTGTGAAGAACAAGTCCTTTCTGTAGGGCTGGACCAGCCCTCTGTGCTCCTAAAGAGAGGAGATGTCACCTCCTCTTTGAAAAGGGAAAAAGAAGCTGAGACAGAGCAGGAGATGCTGGAGGTGTGCAAAGGAATAATGAGCTGAGCTTAGTGAGGCCAGTGGAGTGTGAACCTCACAGGCTGTTGTTTGCCCACACTCCTGGTAGGTTCTGACACATTTCTCCAGTGAGCTCTTTGTTTATCCTCACTCTGCTGGATCAGTGTCCAGGCTCTTCCTGAGCTCAGCAGAGCCCCAGCAGGTAGAGCTGCTGCTGTCACGTCCCGTGGAGTGTCTGAGCCACCTGGCACTCGTGGTGTTTGCAGTTCCCTTTTCTGCTCTGGTAGTTTTTCATCTTCCAGCACGAGGCAGGAACTCAGTGGTTTCAGCAGCAGCTGCCCCGGGAGGAGAGAAGTGGTGGGATGGTTCAGGCAGGACTCAAGGGACAGTTTTCTGCTTGACCTGCTCCAAGGACACTGCCCAGAGAGCTCTGAGCTTGTAACTCTTCTTTCACAGCCTGAGGGCTTCTGGTTTGCCCACAGTTTCTGTGGCTTAATTCTTTGCTTGAAAAGTGGATGGGATTCAAGAAGTAAGAGCTGGCTCTGCTTTTTACAAGGGATTAAGAAATACTTTTGCAGGCTGCTTTCCTCTTCCTATATTGTGGGACCACAGAGTACCTCTGGAATCCTGCTGAGTCAGCACAGAATGTGTCAAGGGGCAGAACATTTTGGGTTTTTTTTTCCTTTCTTTTTTTTTTCCTCCCTGTGGTTACATCTCACAGAGAAGACAAAGTGATTATCCATCACATGGAACCCGGAATTTTAAAATGAAAGCTACAGTGAGTTCTGTGTTGACAACTCTGAAGGTGTTTGGAGGTTTTGAAGCTCCAGGTCCTGTGGTCCTGGGGTTACAAAAGTCAGAACTTTCACTGAGTGCACAAATACTCTGGTTTTACAGCTGCAGGTTGGGAAGTGTGACTCACCAAAACAACTGCTTCCAGCTGACCCCAGTCCTGTAGTTCATGAGCTGTCACCTTTGCTGGGCTGTGGGTCTGTCCCTGTTCAGCAGCTCCTGTGTTACACAAAAAATCACTTTAAAAAGCAGGGCTGGAGGACTTGGCTTGTCTCACATGGCAGAGCAGGGTCCCACAGCAGAGCAGAGGGAGGAGACTGAAAAGAGAAAAAGGCTTATCCTTTCTTTCACTGCTGCTCTGTGTTCGGGTTATTGAAGGTCAGTTGTTTTAAATTCCATATTCTCTGGGGGAGAAGGGATCGGAGACATTCCAGATTCCTTAGATTTCTAAGTGATCTCATTTACAGCTCTGTCAAATAAGTTTGGGTCTTATCCATGACCTGATGTATGGGTGCAGATTTCCAGCATTTCTGGGGGATCAGAACAATCAGTTCTTCCTCCTTTGTCTGGTGCCTCTCGCCCTTTCTTGCCCTTCTAGAATTTTGCTTCTTGGCTGCAATGCCACTGGTTTTTTTTGGTATTTGCACCTGCCACGTTGTCTGAGTGTATGGGTTATAACCTAGGGCAGGGTTCAAACCCAAAGCTTCTGCCCAGGCTCTGTGTGCACAGACATGCAGTGAGAAACCCTTTTTCTTCCACGTCTCTGTGCTGAGCTCCCACACCATATTTAACTGCGCCTTTATCTTGGATGGGCTCGTTGTGGTGCAACCCGGGGCTGTCCAGCTTTGTGTGGCAACACTCAGCAAGGGAAAATGCAAGCAGGGCATCCACAGGCTCTTCCCTTTTCCCAACAGGAAGCAGCATCTCCTGGTCACTGAGGGACAGACCTAGAAAGACCTCAGAAAGACTTGTCAAGTAAGCGAGCACGTTCCCGCCCTGCTCCTTGGGGAGCTGCTGGCTGAGGCTTGGAGTGGAGGGAAAAAGAAGCTGTCCAAACCCACAAGACACAAGCTTTTCTTATCTAAACACTGTCACATTGCAGGCAAACTCACAGCCCCTTGTTTTACAGGGAGCTGTGTTTGGGAGTGCTGGAGAAGTGGCTGACCAGGCTCCAGCAGCCTCACCTGGCCACGGGCCTGGGTGGGTGGGATGGAGGGCAAGGGCCTGGATGGTCCTTCCCTTGGCAGCAGGGCCAGCTAGGAGGTACAGAACCAGGGGCTGGTGCTGGTGTGAGCTCAGGGCTGTGAGAGGCTGCTGAGCAGAGCTGTTGGGCAGCTGAGGTGGATGCTTTTGTCAGTCCACGGATTTACGCCGCGGAATTTGGGCTCAGTGTTTTTCGCATCAACTCGCAGGAGGAAAGGGGAGCAGTAAATGCTTTCATTCCTCTGGCTGAGCCAGGACAGGATGTTTCTGCAGCACCAAATCAATTGGCTGTTAATGCAGGGCTGTGGGAGCAGTGGCTGTGCTGCCAGCCCAGCTCTGACACCCCTCCTGAGCACACAAGTCCTCTCCGTGTCCTGACACCCCGTTGTTTCCTTGGGGCAAACAACACCCATCCAGACATGTGGGCATTGCCTTGTCACACTAATGAAGTGGATGCTGGTTGTCCTGGCACAGCTGAGACTGATTTTTCCTGCCTGATTTGCTGCTGGAAAAAGCTTTGTACCATTCCTTTGTTTTTCTAAGCTAAATCTAAGCCCTGACTTCCACAGACAGGTTATATCTTCATCAGGCATTTTCCAGGCTGTTAGGAGAGACAATCAGATGGTGGAGTTATGGTGTCTCTTTCTTATATACAGACTGCAGACTTTGTCCAAGAATTTATTTTTCTTTTTGTGAGGCCGAGATTATAAATGTAGAAAAAACAGCTCACATTTGGAGTGGTTTTGAGCTGGCAGTTCAGCTGAGAGTGCTGCCCAGTTTTGTTCTCTGCTGTCCCTGCCCAGTCTTTTGTGATAGGAGAAGGGAAGGAAACAGAGTTTGTCCTCAGCCCATGCATTAGTGCTAAAATAGCCCCAGTCTGGAGTTAATTTTCTCTTTTGAAATTCATAAATTCCAGGGCTAAAAAAAAAAAAAAAAAGCCCAGCTTTTGTCAGGAGGACATTGTGCCTCTGACATTAGCAGGACAAAACATCTAATGATCTTGATGGAGCCCACTTGGGCTTGACTGGTGAGAGAGATGAATGATGCTCTTGTGCTGGGAATCTGAATCCTGCTCTCAAGTCATGATGCCAGGAGACCTTCAGGATCCCTCCTACACAAAGAGCAGGAGGGACTGGACCAGAGAAATGCGGAAACAAAGGCATTGACTGACTCCTTGCAAAGTTCTTCTTGAGTTGGGGAGAGTTGCAGTGTCACCCAGAGCACTGCAGTGTTAACTGGGCAGACAAGGTGTGTGCCAGGAGGGTGAGGAGAAACAGCCAAGGTAATACATAAATATTAACAGAAAGGGAGGAATAGATGGAACAATAACAGAGGAGGTGGCTGATTTTGAGTGTGTTTGTCGTTCTCTCTTCCTTTTGTTGTCAGTAACATTCTTTATTTTCTGCTTTGACAGGTTCTGTGTGTTCATATTCAGGTGAGTGACATCTTTGTCATCTGCCTGGTTTTGTGATCATGAGAACAAATGAGGGACCCTGAATCCATGGCAGGCACTGAGGCTTTCACTGCTAACTTCCATGGATGGGAGCCATGCATCCCATGCACTGGTGTCTCTGAACTTTGATTAAACTGGGGGCTAAGATTAGGAAGGTGTACAATCCTGGTAACAGACATCACACAGACACTGCTTTCACTGACTGAAATCAGTGTGTTAAGTTTTTGTATTACATTTCTTTATTAGGCAAAGGTTCTTCCCCCAGAGGGTGGTTGGGCACCAAACGGGCTCCCCGGGGTTTGGTCACGGCCCCAAAGCTGCCAGAGCTCAAGGAGTGTTTGGAGGGAGAGGGTGGGATTGTTGAGGTGTCTGTGCAGGGCCAGGAGTTGGACTGGATGGTCCTTGTGGGTCCCTTTCAACTCGAGATATTTCATAATTGCCCATGAGAGTGCCCTGTGCTGGTCTTGAAGGTCACTTTTGGGCGGGAGACGCGCAGAGAGATTCCGGGGCGGGTCCGAGTCCTACTCTACTGTCCTCACACTGCTAACTCTGCCCTCTGCTCTCTGCTCCTTGGCTCTCAGTGCCAGCTGATGCCTCCAACCCAGAGAGCGTGGTGGTGTCCGTGCTGAACATCAGTGCTGTGCTGGGCTCTCAGGCCGTGCTGCCCTGCAAGAGCCACCGCATGGTGTGGACCCAGGACCGGCTCAACGACCGGCAGCGCGTCGTGCACTGGGACGTGCACAGCACCTACTACGGGGACAACAAGATGGAGAGGCTCTGTGACATGTACTCTGCTGGGGACCAGCGTGTCTACAGCTCCTACAACCGGGGCAGGATCTTCATGCCCGAGAACGCCTTTGTAGAGGGCAACTTCTCCCTGGTGATCAAAGGTACGAGGCGGGAGCTCTTCGCTCCACGCTGTCTTGAGGGGTGGAGGGTTCGTGACTGACTTAACTTGTTGGTTTGTGGTGAAAGTGGGTGTTTCACAGTGCATTTTCTGTAGAAAAAATATCAGTCCAGTGAGTCTAATTCTCAGGAGGAATTTCTCCACCGAAAGGGTGGTCAGGCATTGGAAGGGGCTGCCCAGGGAGGTGGTGGATTCCCCATCCCTGGAGATGTCCAGGAAGCAACTGGACATGGCACTGAGTGCTCTGGGCTGGTTGTCAAGGGGGTGATTGCTCACAGGTTGGACTCAGTGATCTCAGAGGTCTTTTCCAACCTAAATTATTCCGTGAGGTTCTCTGAAGCACTGGCAATAGCGTTTTAATTGCCTTTGAAACAGTCACACTCTGAAAGAGAATTTGTAACAGCCTGAAAACCACTTGGGCTTTTTGTGGGCCTTTGATTGTATTTAATTTCCTGAGCTATAAACACTCAATGGTCGTTCTTCCTCTGCCTGCTCTAGCTAAACTTAAATCAGCTTTCTCTTTCCATCTGTTAATACAAATACCTGCCTTCCAAGGGCAAAAAAACTGAGCAAATTATTAGATTAAGTGAGATGATTTGTCTCTGTTTAACCCACCCTAGAACTAAGTTGTATAAAGGCCCTTTTCATCCATACGAGGATTTGGGAAACAGTGTAAATGACAGAGAATAAAATATTCAGCTTCTCCTCTCTTCCCTGCTGTACCAGGTGTTGCAGAGAGTGATGAAGGCATATACTCCTGTAATCTTCACCATCACTACTGCCACTTGTATGAAACTGAGAAAATCCAGCTCACCATCACCAAGAAAGGTAGGTGTGGCTGAGAGCTCCGTGTCCCTTCTGGGAGGGACCTGGTCTGGCAACTGGAGTCCAGTGGCCAGCAGGGCTCTTGGATGCACAGTGGGGTGTGTGTGCTGGTTCACTGCAGGCCTTGCACACTGTTCTGCTCGAGAAGAACCTGCAGGGTTCTTCCCATGTTGTCTCAGTTGCAGGGTCAGGGCACAGGTGCCACCAGAGGCCTGGGAAGCACCAGCAGAACGTGGTGCTTGCTCACTGTGCTGCTTTGCTGTCTGATTCCCTGAGTTTCAGAGATTTCACTCAGTGTGTGTGTTTGTGAACCTCCCTCCTTTCTTGGCATGTGCCAAACAGTGCGTGGAGCCTGTTTACTCTTGGCAGCCCAATTCCCAAACTGTCCTGTTGCTCCTGCAGCAGCAGCACATGCCTGGTGACAGTCCATCCCCACTCAGCTCAGCCACAAAGACCTGCCCTGTACATTGGCTCCTGAGCTTGTCCTGAGAAGTCTGTACTTAAAAACCCGCCTCGAGTTACCACACCTTAAGCCCAGCTCTAAAAGCAAGCTGCTGGCAGCTGCAGTGTGTGCCACCCATGCCACACAGCCACCACTACCATGCCATTAAAATCGACCCCTGGGGAACACACAAGTGAAGCTGCTGGGGCTGGTTGTGCTGGGAAGCTGTTGGAGGATTGATGGGAGAGGAGGGAAGTGCATCTCCTCTGCTGCTGCTCGCACGCTGTGAGCCCCAGTCTGCTCAGCTGCGTTTCTGGTTCTCCTGTTGTTCCTTTTCAAGAGCAAAATACAGAGCAGAGCTGCTTCGACTCCTCCGGCAATTAGGGCGTTTGTGGGTAGCAAAGCATTTCCTGCTCGGAGGATTGGGATGCAGCACATCCAAGATCCTCGTTCCATTCTTAGTCTGGAGAGGGAATATGCTTCCTGCTTTCTGCAGCAAGAGATTAACTCTCAGTTACAAGGAAAAGAAAGTGGCCTTGCTTAAAGCACTGACCAAGGGTATAGAAGATACAGGTACACTGAGGGCACTTGGTGTGTTCAGCTGGAGAAGAGGAGACTGAGGGGAGACCACACTCCAGTTCCAACTTCGTGGGGAGGGGCAGGGGCTGAGCTCTGCTCTGTGGGGACCAGGGTTAGCACCCCAGGGAATGGCTGGAGCTGTGTCGGGGCAGGTTTAGGTTGGATATTAGGAAAAGGTTCTTTCCCCAGAGGGTGGTTGGGCACTGAACAGCCTCCCCAGGGCAGGGGGCACAGCACCAAGGCTGCCAGAGCTCCAGGAGTGTTTGGATGATCCTCTCAGGCACATGGTGTGACTCCTGGGGATGGACCTGTGCAGGGCCAGGAGCTGGACTCGATGATCCTTGTGGGTCCCTTCCAGCTCAGCATATTCAGTGATTCTGAACAGCAGGAATTATATTAACAAGAATCCTCTCCTTCACTTGTCTGGCTACCCTGTCACCTGAATGTGAACCAGAGAAGCCATTTGTAGACTTGTGAGCTATCTGCAATTTTTCTAACACGATTTTTTAAGCCCTGTCCTCTAATGTTGAGACTCAGTTCCTCTGAAACCCCTCAGTACTTTTGCTTTCTGAGCATATGCCAGAAAGGTGTGAAGCTCAAGGAGCACTTGGGTGATCCTCTGGGGCACAGGGTGTGACCCTTGGGGACGTTCCTGTGCAGGGCTGAGGGCTGGACTCGATGACCCTCGTGGGTCTGATGCCTAAAAGAAAACTCAGGGAGAAAAAAACTCCGAGGCAACTTAATTTTTGGAGGTCAGGTGAGGGAAGGTTTAATGATGTAACAACTTACGGGGCTGCTGCTCGATCCAGTGTTACAATTTTTATAGTATTGTCTGTCCAACCCCTGATTTTATCCACCCCCCCGGCCCTTACACTGATCCACTTCTGCCCCATCCCTTGGGAATTGGGTCTGGGGTCATATTGGGACCCTTTTCTTCCTCATTTTGGTCTTCTTCAGGGTACAAAGTGCACACAGTCACCCAGTTCTTGGTCGTATCTTGCGGTTCAGGCCAGGGAGCAAATGTTCTTAAACAGTAGAAAGCCTACCTGGAAGAGAGACTAAACATGCCAAATGGAATTTAAGGGGAATTGATACGGGGAACATGGAATGGGAGTAAGAGGGTTGGGGAATATGTGCAGCTAAAGGGTGAGGGAATGAACGCAGCCGCTTTTAAAATCTGCTTCCGCTATATAACTACTTCTAAAACTTATAAAAATTAGAAAAAAATCAAAAAAATGAAAAACCCTTAAGGTAACAGTCCCTTCCAGCCGGGTAGATCCCATAGCTCTGCGTGCGTTGCCCCCGCAGCCGAGGACGCCGGCGAGTTCTGGGACGGGGAGAAGCCGGTGGTGGTGGCCCTGCAGGGCAGCACGGTGACGCTGCCCTGCGTCAACCGCAACCACATCTGGACGGAGCGGCACAGCGAGGAGGAGCAGCAGGTCGTGCACTGGGACCGGCAGCCCCCCGGGGTGCCCCACGACCGCGCCGACCGCCTCGTCGACCTGTACGCCTCCGGCGAGCGCCGCTCCTACGGGCCCCTCTTCGTGCGCCGCAAGATGAACGTCACCGATGCCGCCTTCGCCCTGGGCGACTTCTCCCTGCGGATCTCGGAGCTGGAGAGCGCCGACGAGGGCACCTACTCCTGCCACCTGCACCACCACTACTGCGGCCTGCACGAGCGCAGGATCTACCGCGTGTCCGTGACCGAGCCCGTGACCAGGGAGAGGAAGGTGGTGAACCTCACCACCCACAACGTCGCCCCGGCCGTAGGTGAGTGGCCTCTGGAAGCCTCTGGAAGCGGCTCTCCCGGTTGAGGGTGGGTCTCTACCAGTTGCACCTTTGGGGTTGTTCCCGAGCTGTTCCCTGGGCACACCCAGAGCTGGGTGCGTGGCCACTCTTGACTGTCTCTTGTCTGGTGTGCCAGTCTTCATAAAACTGAATTCTATTTTTTCCCCCCAAGGGCTGTCTGCTTGTTTCCAAGGTGTAGAAAATTTCCAAATCATATCTGAAGTTACAACTGAATGAAACCTTTTTGAGAATATTTTCTTGGTACTTGGTGCCTTAAAAATAAATAAGTAAACACGCAAACAATTAGGTACACAACCAGCTGAAGCCCATTGTCACTACTTTGCCTCTGATTAATGTAGGTCACACTTTTCTTCCTTCCAGTTATTAAGTGTTTAGATCCATTTTTACTTTAATCCCGTGTCTTTTTCCTGGTCCTTTGTTGCTGTGTTACATCCTCACAGTCAGAGAGCATTGAACTAAGTGGTGGAAAAATGGGAAGAGGGAGTTAAGGCAGTAATCCAGCTTTGAAACAAACCACCCAGGAGCCACCAGGAGGGGAGTGTGGGCCATTCACTCAAGGGTTGGACTCAGTGGTCCTTGTGGGTCCCTTCCAACTCAGAACACTCTGGGAAATCTGGGAAATCCCTGAGTGTCCCATCCCTGAGGGTCGCTCGCCCTGCTCGCGGTGCTGTGGTGGCACCATGTCAGCTCCCATTTCCTCTGCTCCAGGGCAGTCCTGAGCCTGCTCTGCTCTCACTGCTGACAGGCCCCGAGGCAAACAAGCTGTTTTTGGAACAGGCTCCCTTTCCTCCTTGCTTTTGGGATCAGGAGAAGGTGTGGGCAGGGGATTGATACTGCTTGTGCTGTTACAACATGCCACCACTCTCACCGGTGTTTCTCTCCCCTTTGCACGGGTGTTTGGGCTGTGCAAGGTGTAAGACCATGCAGAATTAAGCCCCAGGAATTTTCCTCCACCCTTCAGCTTTTCTTTTTTTTTGCATCTTAAACCAATTTTCATATTTTCCACTGCACTGAGCTATCATCTGACAGCCTGTCCAAACTCAAAACCATCACGCTTCATTCAGGCAGAAAAACAAAATAAAAAACCCCAAGTTTAATATTTTTTTAAAGTCTTTTGGGCATAGTTCTTTATTAACATTTTAAAATATTCATTGTGGTTTAATATTTATTGGCTGTTTAATACAGAATTTTGATACGCTTCATACATTTTTAAATAGGTTTATTCTTCTCTAGAAATTGGCTTTCTCAAGTCACAGAAACCTAAACCTCCCCCCTGGGATTGAGGTTGGTGTCCAGAAAACCCTGGCAGTGCTAAGGAGAGGTGGCTGTTGGGGCTGACATGGAGACCAGGACATCCAAATCTCAGTGTCCCTGCCCGCAGCCCTCTCCAGATCACGCTGTGCAGATGGAAACTTGATCTTGTTTTCGGAGTTGTCCACCCAGGAATTTATTCCTCTCTTTCCTGGATGTTGTCCTGGCTGTTGCTGAATAGTTCCCTACCTGCTCAGCACTTAGATGGAACCTCTAAAGTTGTTTAACCTGCCAGGGGCTGTCTCAGTTTGGCAGCGGCGCCCTCGGTGCTGGAGGAAATTTTCCTTCCTGGGAAAAGCCATTTCCACTGTCGGAAAGAGCAACCTTTGGAAGAGCTTTGCCCCTCCGGGCAGTGAACCCTCAGCTGGTCTGAGAGCACCACGCACAAGAATGTGCTGAGTGCATGGGAATGTGCAAGAAGTGGAGACATCCGGAGTGCCTGTCCCAACCCACTCTGCTGAGGAGCCTGCAGGGACATGCCCTGCTTGGTGTGCAGCACCCCGGGCTGAGGTGCTGCCCCATTCCCTGGAAAACTGTATGGAATCGTGGGCAATATAACATAAATGGAACCTCGGGAGGTAACAAAGGCACAACAATGAGCTGCTTCAGCAAGCAGCTACAGCTTCTGGCCTTGCTCCAAAAGGCCTGGAGCCATTTCCAGACAGGAAATTTCGTCCTGTTTGGAAGAGAGGCCGGAGCTCAGCTCTGCTCCCAGTCCCAGCAGTGTAACTGTGGTGTGTGTCTGCTAACCCAGAGCAGTTTTACTCGATGTTTGCTTTGGAGCAAAGATGCTGTAGAGTGGCATCTGCTGTGTCTCCTGCTTGGTGCTGAACCATTCACAACCCTTTGCCAGCCCTGAACAGAAAACAGGCCCCGTGGCCAGGTTTGTGAGCTCTCTTGGTGGAGAGCTCTCCGTTTTCTCCAGCAGAAGAATCTGACCCTTGACACTTTGGGAAAGTGGTGTAAGGAACCCCTGATCTAAGTTTTCTTTAGAACTTATTTTTCAGTAATTAAGCCAGGTCCTGTGGGTGAACTGGAGACAGATGGCCATGAGATGTACTGAGAGATCAGATCTTGGTTACAGAATAAACTTTCATCAGCTCAGCTTGAATTCTGGTCTAGGACTAGGGTGAGGAGGAGAGTCTGTATGACCTTGATGATCCTGTTTTGGCCACTGAAGTTCACTGGTGTGACTAAATCAGCTGTCACTCTGTGCCTCAGCTTCCCCAGTTATAAAATGGGTTTTATTCTACTGCCTTCCTGATGATGCATTTTGAGGCCCACCAGTGATGCTTTGTCTAAACACTGGTGTGACAAGTATTTTTAGTATTATTTGAATAAGCCAAGGAGGCCCCAAGTTACTTAATCTCTGTTTCCAATGTTTGTCACAGTGACCTCTCCAATGCTGCCTAAAGTTTAGCTCAGCTCTCAATCCTGCCTTGCAGGACTGTGGGAAAGCAAAAAGCCAGGAATAGGATGCCTTTGTTTGCTGACTCCTGGCTCAACAGCTGCTCCAGTGGCACCATCTCATTGTGGCAGCTGCTGGAGGAGCCTTCCAGGGTCCGGGGATGTGACAAAGCAGAACTGTCACAAGTACTGTTTGCAGCTTTGCAAGTGGGTTTTTTGGTTGGGTATTTTTGTAGCTTGGCAGTGGTGGAAAAAAAAACACATGGTAGTTTCCAGCAGTGTAGCCAGGGAGCACATGGCATCTGGCAGTGCCAGGATAAACTGGAAGCTGCTGGAGTGGAGCTCTGGGCTACCAGAACAGAGCCTATTGCTCAAACTTTTGCATTTTCTGGGACTGCTGCTGGCATTAGCAAACTGTCACCTCTGTTTTCAAAGTGTTTATTTCAATCCACTCTTGTGTTATTTGATTTTTACTTTTGGTGGGTTGGTGTTTTTTTTAAACGCTGGAAACAAACTCCCTGACAAACTGGAACCACTCACTGTGCCAGCACTTCCAGAAATGTCAACATTCCTCATATTAGCACACATCTGTTAAGTGGTACTGTGGCTTTTGAGGTATTTCCCCCCATCTTTCCCCTTATTCCCTCTGACTGATTTGCAGGGGGAACTCCCAGGGGAATGGAAGGCCAGGACTCCATCCTGGTTCTTGCCTGTGAATGTTCCCTGTCAAGGGGTGAGAGTGTCATTTCAGCTGTTTTGAAGAGAAAAACCTCTCCCAGCACAGTCTTATGTGTTTCCAGTCTGTTCCAGGGCTGGATTTGTCCATTCCTCTGCCTATTGCAAGCAAAGAAGTCGCTTCCTCTTTATATGTGTAAAACATTGACCTATTTATTTGAGACCTACAAAAACGTTCCACGTAAAAGTTTGGAGCTCCCCTTCCCCACTTCCAGTGCTGTGGAACTGAAATGCTGCTGCACCCACAAATGGAATGGAATCTTGGCTTTTCTTTGTGGGTTTTTTTTTCTTGGTTTATTTATTTTATTGATTTTTATTTCATTTCAAAGGAAAACTTATTCTTTTGGCGTTGAAAATTCCTCCCACTCCATAAATTATAACCTCCCTTGGCAGGGAGGGGCTGCTTCATATTTTCTCTGTCTGGAGCCTGAGCAGTGTGGGGTGTGTGTTTTGAGGGACCCAGAGGAGGGTTGTGTTACCCTCAGGAAGGTTTGGGGCTGGGTTTGGGGGTGAATTTTCTCTGATATTCCCCTCTGCAATAAGCACTGATGGCCGGGCAGTGGGAAGGGAATGTGGAACAGTCACTGTTAAAACTTCATCTCCCTGGGAATCGTGGTCTTGTGAAGAGCACAGGCATCTCCCACCTGAGATAAATCAGAGGTTTTGTAAATCAGGCAGGGATTTGCTCCTTAATTCAAGCAGCTCAGAAGAGTTTCTCCCTGAACATCCTTCTTGTGCCCATGTGTGATCCTGCTTTGCTCTGGATGCCAATTACAATGATCAACCTCTTTGCCTTTCTCTCAGACCCAAACATTGTCAGGGGCCACAATGTGATAAATGTCATCATCCCTGAGAGCAGGATGCACTTCTTCCAGCAGCTGGGATACATCCTGGCAACCCTGCTGCTCTTCATCGTCCTCCTCATCATCGTGGTGCTCGTCACCCGCAAGCGCCGGCAGAGAGGTGAGTGCCAGAAAAATCACAGCCCTGTCCTGCTTGGGGGGGTATCCTGGGATGATCCTGTAAGTAATTCCTGCAAAACACCCTGCTGAAGGCAGGGATCCCCTCCTGGCAAACCAGCAGCCTGCACAGGGAGGGTTAATTAATCCAGGTGCTGATGCCTGGATTAATTAGTGGGGTGTAAAAACTTCCAGGCCTTGATTTCGCAGAGTCATTAAGGTTGGAAAAGACCTCTGAGGTCATCAAGAACCAGCCTTTGACCAAATACCACTCATGATTTGCTGAGTTATGCTGTTGGAAGGGAGAAGAAAACTAGGAGTGCCAGACAGCTTCTCTTTACAAGTGGGATTTCTTTAGAGCAGAAGGCTCGTGTGCATCCCTTGGGAACTCAGATGTCCAAGTCCTTGCTGGACTCCCTGGGCTGGGTGACCCTGGAAGAATTAGATAAACAGACACGGAGATCTTCTGGTGACTTCCACACCACTAGTTTTGGGTGCCCCACAAAAAGCAAATCCCAGGAATGTCTGTCTGCTGGAGTGTTCTTTGCAGTGCCACGTTCACCCTTATTTGTGTGTCAGGGGATTAGCACCAACAAAGTGTGAGAAGATACCAGGGGTTATCATTGGCAGAGGAAGGGCTTGGCTGCACTGGCCCTGACTGCTCATTCTGTCTCTTCTCCCTTTTCAGGTTATGAATATAACGTGAAGAAATATGGAGAGTAAGTATAATTACAGGGTCTGTTATTTAGGATTAAAAGGCATAAAAGTGAACTTGTGGCCCCTTTGCTCAGTTGTCATTAAGAACCTAAAACAGCTGAGGATTTGGTTAGAAGGAGAAAGTGGTTTGTAGGGCTGGTTTGGCAATTGCATTTCCTCTTGTTCTGCTTTGGGAACTGAATCCCAGATCCTGGTTCTGTGAGACATCATTAGGAATTAGTGGTATAGGAATAATGCACAGATCTGCTATGGGATGGGGCCAAGATCATGTATCTGGGTTCCTTTATGGTTTATTTTATATTATTGAAGTGGAAGAGATGGGAAGTTCCAGTACAGGTTGGCTGTCTGTTGTTCTAAGCTCTGGACAAACACATGGGGGAAAAAAGAGATCCAGCTATACCAGATAAACACCATAAATTAAATTCCCCTAAAGTCCCATTAGAGAAGCTATTGTGAAAAAGTGTGGAAGGAGACAGTTATTAGAGGATGTGACAATATTCCACTGTTATTCCCTTTACAGGAAGGATGTGAACCTTAAGGAATTTACAGTGGACACAACAGATCTGACCCCACACAAAAGTGAAGACATCAGGCTGGGTATGTGTCAGTTGGCAACCCTGTGCCAAACCAGGTCAAAACTCCTTGTAGCTCAGGAGCTTCTAATGGCATTTGGATGCCCATTTTCAGGTGACTTAACCTCCTCCTCTTTAACCTCTTGAAAGTGGGTGTGGAAATGGGGATGAAGGGAAATCCAGGGTTAGCTGAGATCATTCTGTCCATCTCCTGTTGAAGAATTGCTGTAAAGGCCCCACTAAACAAGAGGTAGATACAAAACTGGAAGGAAAGAACAGAGGAATTGCAGAGGGTGGGTTGCAAAAATTCTTCTTTTCATGTCCCAGGAGAGAAAAATCCCCTGAATAACTGCATCAGTCACCTCGAAGTGAGCTTTGAGTGGATGATCCAGAGCTTTCTGTTACGTGCTGGGAGAATCTGTGGTACCTGTGAGGAGCAGGAACCCGAAATATCCATGACTGATTAGTGCCAGGGGCAAAAATGAGGTGGCAGCAGCTTTCCTTTTGCTGCTGAGTGGCTGAGTAACTCCACTCCTAGAAATCTGAAGGCCTGGAGTACATCAAGGAAGGACTGATCGTGTGTGTCCTGCCTGTAAAACTCTTGTTTTCTTTTAATATTCTAATGTCTGTCTGAACCACGCTCCTCCCTCACACAGATTACAAAAACAACATCCTGAAGGAGAAGGCTGAGCAAGCCAGAAGCTTCCCAGCAAAGAACATTGATTTAGACAAAGGTAATAATGACTTGCTTTCCCCCTAATTGGTGGCTGTAGGAACCTTCTGCTGGGCAGCAGGAGGGAGCAACTCGGTCCATCAGTGAGCTGACCAAGCCACAGCCCAGGCAGGAATGATAAACACCCTGGCAAATGGCAGCAGGAACGAGGAGCCAGTTCCCTGCCCATCCTTTCATCATGGAGCCACAAGATGCAAGTGGTGATTAGGACTTTTGAAAGCTTTTGGCGTGGCCCAAACCGAATTTTTCTTTATTGGAAAAAGAATGCCTGGCAGGGCTGGAATAGGGCCTGCTCTACTGTAACCTCAGAGGGAGATGGATCCCAAAAATGTCCTGGCAGTGCTGCTTGGGGAGAAAACACTGTGCTGAAGATAGTGTTTTGAGCTGAATTAATTTATGGGCAGTCACTCACTTCATCCAACAAAAGCAAACAGCTCTCCCTCCCCGGGGGCCGAATCTCCTTTTGCTTCCCCAGTATTAATCCTGAGAGTTGTGCCTCAGTTTGTAGAGCAGCACTTATGTCAAGCAGTGCTTGTAATAAGCTGTTAGATTCCATGACTCATCTAAGAGGAATTTAGAATATAACAAATGGGACTGAAATGATACCGAGCAGGGAATGGTCTGGAGAGCCCAGGAGTTGCCTCAGACCTGCTGTCCCTGCTGGAGTTCTCAGGATACTTTTTCCCTGCAATTCTTCAGAGGTGATCTGTGCAATAATTTATACACTGGGGGCTTTATGAGGGGATATTTATATATATTCCTGAGGGGGGACTGGGGACATGGCTGACTGTAAACTTGTCACTGCCTAGAGAAGTCCATATTTTTGTGCTCATTTGAAAGGTTTGAAATCCCTCTCCAGGTGCTGACCTCCATTTCCATTTGCTTTCAGATTTCAGGAAGGAATATTGTAAATGAAGACATTCCCAAGCTGCTGGCTGGACCAGAAGCTTCAACCAAAGATAGATAACATGGAAGAGAGATGACTTTTCTTAATACCATCTCCCTCCAGTTCCCATAGAGTTGTTTTTTTTTCCACATAGACTTGAGGGTGTTTGCAAATGCTTCTTGAAAGAGTTAGACTGTCTTGTGTGCATTTATGGGTTTGGGTTGCCTTTCCTCCTCGTCTCCCCATCCTCCATTCCCCTCTTCTTTTCTTGATATTATTGTTGGTTTTATGCATCAATGATTTTTATGAGCTGAATCAGCAGACCTTTTGCTTTGATGTTATTGCTTTAAATAAACCAACCTGCATCACTGCTCCAGAGCCATCATTATGTATCAGACATTTTTCCATGTAGTGTATTCATCAGAATAATAATAATAGCAGAGCCTGATCTCCCGTGGGCTGGCATAAATCAGTGTCACACAGCACTTTACACGTTCCAGGTGAAGCACAAAGAGCACAGCCCTCCCAAATGGCAATATAAATACCTCATTTTGTGAATGGGGAGATGTCAGGATCCTCATTTTGCAGGGGAAAGGGAGGCAGATAAATGACCACGAGTAGATTGGGTTCAGCTCCAAAGAGCTCTGGAAGCTGAACTCTGTATTTCTCACTCTGAGCTTGTTTGTTTTCATTTCAGTGCAGATCAAATCATATTTGGCAGGAGCAGACACTTGACTGATGGAGTTGCAGTGCTGTAACACCACTCTCAGTTAGCTCAGAACCAGGAATGCTTTGGAGGGGGCTGAACTCCTGTGTGGAACCTGGGATGGGATTTTCCTGCAGTCCTTGGGTGGACCCAGGCCACGCAGAGCTCGTGTGCACATCGACCCACAGGTATGGTTCCAGCACAGGCAGGTTGGAAATGGGAGCAGCTCCTCAGGAGCAGCCCCTGAGGAACAAGAGCAACAGCACTGAAGAGCCTGTCCGGAATTTTGGTGGGCCAGGGCCTCAGAAGGGCAGTCCAGGAGTGAGATTAATCCATTCTCACGGATATTGGCATTGTTTTGGTGAGTGGACACCTGAGGTAGTGGGGCTGTGGGCTGAAGGGGAGTTCTACATATGAACAGCGTGTCAGGTGGGGATGCCAGAAAATCAGGAGTAATTCGGTGTTGTGATCCAAGCAGGTTAAAGCACCGTGGAAGCTGGGGAATATTAACAGTTCTACGCAGCTCCTCTGACCACCGGGGGTGTTCTGGGGCACCATTCCCAGACCAGGCACTCCCACGGTCCTTGGGGCACAGAAGGAAAGGTTGTGAGCACGATGACAGTGAGTTGTGCAAGGGTGAAGGTGGCTGAGGGTTGCCAAGGGTGAAGGTGGCTGAGGGTTGCCAAGGGTGAAGGTGGCTGAGGGTTGCCAACCTACTCTGGAGAGAGTGGCAGAGGGAGGGGTTGTGTGTGGGCTTGGTGACTGGGTGGAACTGGGGGCAGGGTCTCCAGGACCCCTTTCTTTCCGCCCCTGCCAGCTTGGGTGTCTTGTCTGACTGATGCCAATGTTCTTAGACATCTAAATCCCATTCCAGGCTCTGTGTCCCTCCTCCCACGAGCACCTGGTGTGTGCCAGGGCTGGGGAGGACTCCCAGCAGGTCACAGGGATGCTGCACTGGGTGGGATGGTCCTGAAAAGCTGAGCTCAGCTGCCCAGCTCTGCCAAAAGCGTGGTGGGTGAAGCCTCCTGTGTGCCAGAGGAGCTGTACTGTCTGTTCAGAAGGTTGGACATCACGACTTCAATGCACACTTTTTATAGGGGTAGAAAACGGTCCATGTGCATTTTTTTAGATATCAATACTTCTCTCTGTTAGTGGGGTCTATGTGAAAGAATAATTATAGTGAGGACCCTTATTTTTAATGCCTTCAAGTGGTAAATATTAATAATAGAATATAAGTAGAGGTGGAGTTCCTTATCTTTTAGTTTGCTTAGCCCTTCCACTGCTCTCTGGACACCTTTTGGGATTTGCAATTAACTGCCTTTTTCTTCATTTAAGAATCACCTCTACAGAAGTGCTCAGGTTGGGCAGACCCACGAGTAGTGGAGAGGAGGCTCTGGGCTTGGTCCCAGGCCCCTTTTTGCCGCCTTCTCCCCAAAACAGCCAGGGATTCTCAGCCTGCCTTAGGGCTGGGGCTGATTGAAACCCAGGCTGCATTCCTGCAGGTGCAGGAGGCCCTGCTGGTTATTCCATCAGGGTGGCAGAGTCTCAAGTAATTGTCATTAATGTCTCTCTCCCTCCCTTTCATGTCTGTGAGTCAAAGGCCGGAGATTTTCACTTGCCAGTTCCAATTGCTGAGCACAGCTCACAGAGACACCAGCTCAAAGTGGGGCTCCTCATAAGCTCCAGAGGCATTTAAATACTTCAGTGGACTTCTAGGCTGCAAAATAGCTTAAGGGGAGAAAAATTAATATGTTCTCTGTAACAAGGGCTAGGAAGAGCTTTATGAGTTCCTCATCCTTGCTTTGATCACTAGTTGGAATTTGGGTAATGGTCAGACACGTCAGCATAACCCTGGGCTGGTCAAGTTGGGATTGTGGCCCTTTTTCCTTCAGGAGAGGCACATGCTGAGTGATTTGCCTGCTGATCACAGCAGTGGGTTTCAAAAAGCAGCTGCCACATCCAGTGTGTGTAATTTAGGGTGTCAAAATTCTGGCTGAAGGAGACCCAGGCAAGACTGCTGGACAACCAACTGTATTTTCAAACTGTTGAAAAAAAGAGAAAAGGACAACTGGAACGGTAAACTGAAGAGTTCTGGCTGTTTATTTCTTAATGCAGAGGGATTATCAAAGGCTGTTTGCCCTTAAATAGTGGTGAGAAGCCACTCAGGTTTTTCACAGTGCACTTTGCAGTCTGTCACTGGGGGGAAGTTCCATGTAGCTGATCTTGCATGTGAAAATTAAAAGGTTCAAGTTGCAGGACCACTGCTCTCTGTCCCAGACTCACTGCAGTGCCAGACAGGTTGGTTTTCTCTCTCTCATCTCAGCCTTTCTTTCCCTAATCTGGGGCTGTAACTTGCCTCTGGTAGAGAAACACCTTTTTAAAGTGTGTAGCACTTTGGTAAATGTGCTTTGCCCAAGTTATTGGAGATGATGTTCTCCCTGTACCAATTAAATGCTGCACCTTGACAGACTCCTTTGCCTGTCACTTTGCAGGCTTTGCCTCATCACAGCCTCCCTGGCTTCCTGAGACATGCATTCTGTGTTCAGTTAGTCAAAATAGTAATAATCCCTAATTTTTACAGCAGTTCCTCCTCAGTGAGTACTGAGGCTCAATGAGGGCAGAGAAATCAAAGTCTCTTTTAGGATAACGTGTGGACTGTCAGCCCTTGGTGTGGGACAAGGAAAGGCTGTTTGGCAGTGACCTTGAAAGGGGTTAAAACTGAGACTAGAACTAGACTCTTTTCAGCTCTGTGCACACTCTGCTTCCTCTCCAGACTGAGAGAAGGACTTAGTCCAGAAAGCTTGTGGTTTGTTTTTTTTTTTTTTTAATTTGTTGTAACTGAATTAATTTTCATTATTATTGTCGCTTAACTTTTACCATTTGTCATTGCTGTGTAATTCCTAGTGTTTAAGAAATAAAGGAGAATTTAATGGAGTTTCCAGCTAAGGTTGGTTTTATTTCTTGCTCTTTGGAGATGCTACCTGAGCCATCAGCCAGCATTAGCTAATTCTTCCCAAGAGCTGTGCAGTGTGTTTCATCTCAGAGCATCCTAAAGTGCTTTACAAAGTGCAGACTGGATTCAATAAGCTATTCCAGTGACTCCAATATCCTTTCCACGTGGGACATTATTATTTGACAGGGTCATGGGGCCCGTGGAGAAATTGCAGCTCTCCAAAAGTGTTGTGTAACGGGCGGATCCGCAGCTGGAGATGGAGTTCAAACCATCCATCAGAGGGGAAGGCTGGCAGCTCTTCCACAGGATTTAATTTTGCAGGTCCAGAAGGGAAGATAACACATCCTGCTGGAATATGTTATTTCACTCCCAGCCCAGATTCCTCTTTGCTTGCAGAACTCACACCTTGCGAAGTTCCTGCTGCACATTCTGCTCTTGGAGGGTTTCCACCCCCTGAGCACTATCCCAGCTGGCACCAGAGTTCTTCCAGGGACACTGATGGAAACAGCTTGGATGGACGGTGCAGGGGCAGGAATGTGAAGGATCAAAGCAGGATATAGAACTAAAAAGTGGCAAAAAAAAAAGCGCAAACTTTAGCAAGTGAAGATTATCGACCAGCTTGTCCAGCTCTGGTGAAAGTATTATCTGCTCTCTTCCCTGGCTGGAAATCCCACTCCATTCCATAGAACCTCTTCCCTGGGGTGAATCACCACCCTAAATACCCTCTCTGGTGCTGCTGTGGGGCTTTACTGGTCTCTGCTGGGTTATTGCTGGGGCATCTTGTCACTTTTCTCTTGTCTCCAGGCAACGGATCTGATTTTCCAGGAAAGCAGCTGGGAACAAGGAGGAGCTGGTTTAGCACCCACAGGGCCTGCTTTGCAGACCACTGAAATTAAATATTGTCATTGTCTCCCACTTGTCTGAAACCAAGTCCAGATTGTCCCCATTTCCTTTCTGCCTCCCAGTCTGAGTGGAGTTTTACTTGTAAGTCATTAACAGAACAAATTTCTGAGGGGAAGAATAAACACTGGGGACCTGAGAGAAGCAGGATAAAGACCTGAATAGACATTCCTAAGCAAAAAACACTCCTTTTCTAGAGGTCTGTATGATGCCCTCGGCAGATGAGCTGCTCTGAAGACAATTGCTGAAGGGACTCTTCCTTTTTTTTAAAGGAAGTGTGACTCTTTTAAGTGCTGCAGCTGCTAAGAAGAGGTAGGAAACCCAGAGGAAAGAAAACACTTTGGGTCCTGATCAACCCAATAAATTAATTGATGAGGTGCAGATCCCACAGAATTGTTTGAAAACCAACATGAAAGTTGTCCTCAATCCTTCTCTTTTCCCCTCCCATGTGACCTGTAGGGCAATATCCCTCTGTAACACACATTCCCCAGCTAAGGGGGGTTTTGGGAATGTCACTGCAAATACCTCCTGTCATTTCCCCCAGGGTTTTTTTTTCGTGTTTAAATCCAGTGGCAAGGGAAGCCCCGGGGGAGCTTTGCCCAGGAGGCTCCAGAGCAGGAAGCTGCACTCAAAGTCTTTTGCTTCCCTCTAGTGTTTAATGGTTTTATTTCCTTGTCAGCTTGTTGTGACTGAGTCCTGCCCAAGGTCCACTGCACAGAGAGGAAGAATAAACGGGAAAAAAAACCAAACTTGCAGATCTTTTGGACCAGACCCAGAAGTGTAAAGTGCCTTGGATTGCATCCCCCTGACATCGCCCACCCTGGCAGCAGCCTGCAGCCTATTAAGCACATCCAAGATGTGTTCCTGCAGTGATATTTTTCTGCTTCTCTTTCTGTTTCAGGATCATTTCCGTGTTTAGTTCATATTCTGCACCGATGCTGATCTTGCCAACGGTCCTCCCAGTGAAAGATGATTCTGTCCTTTTACAAATATAAATTCTTGCAGGTGGATGAAAAATACCCCTGAAATCCCCGAGTGGGTGCCCAGAGAGTTGGTTTCCCTTTTGTCACGTCCCTGTACCCAAACACTGGTTTGCTGAGCACCCAGAGTGTGATGAGCTCTCAGAATTCCCTGAGACAAGCAACAGCCATTGCTATAATTCAAAGGATGGCTTTTTAAATAGCCCTTGCTTATTCCCTGTGTGGCAACCAAGTGCACTGCTGCACAAATGAAGAAAAGGGTGAGCAGCTTTTGTGCCTCAGGACACTCTCAGCTCCCTGCAGGGGCCAGCAAGACTATTTCCTCTATCACAGAGAGCACAGCACTATTAGCAAGGGATTTTGTGCCTCATATTTATTTTTTGCTGAAGTGTTAAGGCCTGAACTCTGCAAGAAACGAGATATTAGCCCTGATGGACCAGTGGTGTCTTCCTGCATTCCTATGTCCTCTCTTTAATTGGATTAGCTTGTGGTTTGACTGCAACATGAAAGTGGGTTATCTCCTCTCTTCTGTGCTTTATGGGGACACAGAAAGCTTTTTGTGAGTCACAGACCCAGTCTTCTCGTGCCTGTTCCAAGGTAGTCATCTGACAATTATACAAGTCGTTATATTTTCAGTTGTCAGGAGTAAAAGCAAAGCTCAGAGAGCAAGAGCAGACCCTCTGCAGCCTCAGCCTTTGTGTGGGCACCACCTGGGCCTCTGAGCAACTCAGGAGCTCGTTAAGTACCAACTGAAGAGACCAAAGGGTTGGGTGTTAATATTTCACACGAGTTTCATTCTGCAAAATAAAGGTCAGTACCTCGTAAAATACAGTTTGTACCAGAGTTATAGTCCTGCCAAAAGGGAGAATTCCAGCCCTTGCCCAGAGTTTCTTGAGGGTGGTGGAATTCCTGGGTTGATGGAGCACTTTCTGCACCAAGGGTGCTCCTGGGTGGTTGCAGAGCCTTAACTCGTGTCTGCACACGAGGGACAGAAAGCTGAACACATATTTTTACAGAAATCTTCACTGTCCTCAGAATTCCAAAATTAAAAAAGTGAGAAACGACCAACCATCCTGAGAAGTTTTTTATGTACATAGAAACAACTCTTGAAAATTACTCTTTGAAATGCACTAAAGTGGTCATTCCTGACTTAAACCAGCACCAAATCAGTAGTTACAGGACGAGGACTAAGGCCATACCTTTACCTTGCTGTTTATCCTGTTTGATGATCACACAAGCATTCCCATTTAGCAGTGATGAGTGGCAGGAACATCAGCTGGAGAACTCCAGTGGCTGGGATTTTGTAATTCCTTCACTGAACCAGAAATGGCAGCAGGCAGGTGATGATGTTTTGGTTTCTCAGTGTTGTTAAACCTTGTTGAGTTGTGGATTATCCAGTGCTGTTGGTAAAGAAGTTTCTAGACAGGATCTCAGACCTGGTAATGATTAAACTTTCAAAAAACTGAAAATAATAAATAGCAATAATGTTAACAAACCTTCTGGCAGCCACTAACACAGTTTGTTCCTCTGTTTTGTGCTGGTAGAGAAATCATTCCAGTGACAGGTAATTCAGTCACTGAGCTGTGATTTACCCTTTCACAGAGAGCAGCTGAACACTGAGAAGTGAATGTCCCTGTCCTTTGAAAGGGCAGAAGAGAGAACACCATTAGCTTGGGTTTACCTGAAGAAGGATTATTTTTTTTTTTAATGAACAAAAGATTCCTTGAGACCTAAGGTCTGAAATGTTCGTTTTCTGGTTGCCATTTTTTTGAGATTTCTAGAAATAAAGGTGAACTCTTCCCAAACCCATCACCTGCAAAGCAGGGCGCTGTGATTCTGTGATCCCTATCCCTGTCCCTTCCCCATCCCTGTCCCTTCCCCATCCCTGTCCCTTCCCCTTCTCCGTCCCCTTCCCTGTCCTGTCCCTTTCCCCTCCCCATTCCATCGTATCCCATTCCCTTCCCCTTCTCTTTCCCCATCCCATCCCATCCCATCCCATCCCATCCCATCCCATCCCATCCCATCCCATCCCATCCCCTTCCCCTCCCTCTCCGCCTTCCCTGTCCCATCCCTGTTCTCATCCCCATCCCCTTCCCCTCCCTTTCTCTTTCCCCCGACCCGACCCGACCCTGCTCCCATCCTTGTCCCATCCCTGTCCCCTTCTCTTCCTTTCTCTTCCCCTTCCCATCTCCGTCCCGTTCCTCATCCCCATCTCTTTTACTTTCCCCTTTCCATCATCTCCATCCCCTTTCCCTTCTCCATCCCCATCCCACCCCCTTCCCTCTCTCTTCTCTTTCCCCTTCCCCGTCCCATCCCTGTCCTCTTCTCCTCCCTCTTCCCATCCCTTTCCCATCCTCATCGGTATCCCCATCCCATCCCACCCCATCGCTCGGCCGCGCGGGCGGGGGCGGTGCGGGCGGTGCGGGGGCGGTGCGGGGGCGGTGCGGGCGCTGCGCGGGGGGCGCGGTGCGGGCGGAGGGCGCACCGGGGGGGCTTCCCCCGCACCTCCCGCACCCCGGACCCGCATCCCCCGCACCCGCGGGACCCCCCGCGCCCCCGAGCCGCATCCCCGGCCGGGCCGGGCTCCGCTGGCAGCCGGCGGGGCGGCGGGAGGAGGATGCGGGCGGGGCGGGCGGCGCTGCCGTTCCCGGGTCGGGCAGCTAGAGAGCAGTGCAGGGAGCGGAATCCCGGGAGCCGGGAGCTCCCTTCCTGTCGGGAAGGCCGTGAGCGGAGCCGAGCGCCGGCCGGGAGGCCCCGGGCCGGCCGCCCCCGCTCCCCTCGCCCATGGCGGAGACCAAGATCATCTACCACATCGACGAGGAGGAGACGCCCTACCTGGTGAAGCTGCCGGTGCCGCCGGAGAAAGTCACGCTGGCCGATTTCAAAAATGTCCTCAGCAACCGGCCCGTGCACAGCTACAAGTTCTTCTTCAAGTCCATGGACCAGGATTTCGGGTGAGCGGCCGCGCCGCCGGCGCATCGCGGAGCCCCCGCGGGAGCGCTCGGAGCATCCCCGGGGCACCTGCCGGGCTCGGCCCCGCTCGGCCCCGGCCCCGCTCGGCCCCGCTCGGCCCCGGGAGCCGCCGCCGCCGCGAACATGGCGGGCGCGCCCGGCCGTGCCCGGAGCGGGGTCGGCGCTGCCGCCCAGCCCGGCCCGGGACCGCCCGGGGCACCCCCGCGGCACCCGCGACCCGCCGAGCCCGCCCGGCGCTGCCCCCGGGCCGGGCAGGGGCGACCCGCGGCTGTCACCGCAACCGCGAGAGGCCGCGGAGTGCCCGGGCATCGGGGGCACGGCGGGGCCGCGGGGAAGGGGTGCCTGGTGCGGGTGGGGAGATACCGGCGGGGCCGCGGGCTGTCACATCCTCAGGGGTCAGACGGGTGTCACATCCTCGGGGGTCAGACGGGTGTCACATCCTCGAGGGGGTCAGACGGGTGTCACATCCTCGGGGGGGGTCAGACGGGTGTCACATCCTCGGGGGTCAAACGGGTGTCACATCCTCGGGGGGGGTCAGACGAGTGGTGAGTGGTCAGTGGGTACGAAATGGTCAGTGGTCACACGGTTCCAGGAGCTGCGCTCAGACAGCAGCAGAAAATCCTCGGGGGTCAAAGGGGTGACAGGCAGTCCCCTGGTCAAACGGGTGACACATCCTCAGGGGTCAGACAAATGGTCAGTGGGTATGAAATGGTCAGTGGGTGCGAAATGGTCAGTGGTCACACGGTTCCAGGGGCTGCGCTCAGACGGTGGCTGCAAATCGTCAGGGGTCAAAGGGGTGACAGGCAGTCCCTGGTCAAACAGGGTGACAAATGGCACCTGTGGTCAAAGGGGTGTGAAATGGTCAGTGGTCACACAGTTCCAGGGGCTGCTGCAAATCTTTGGGGGTCAGACAGGTGTCAAACGGGTGACAGATCCTCGGTGGTCAAACAGGTGACAGATCCTTGGGTGTCAGGCGGGTGACGGGCGGTCCCTGGTCAAATGGGTATGAAATGGTCAGTGGCCAAGCAGGTGACAAGTGGTCAGTAGTCAGACAGGTGTGAAAAGGGTTGCTTGGTGGTGAAACGGGTGACAAGAGCTCAGTGGTCGAACAGCTGTCAAGTCCTTGGGGGTCAAACAGGTGTCAAATGGTCCCTGGTTGAACAGGTATGAAATGGTCAGTGGTCAAATGGGGGTCAAGTGGTCCGTGGTCAAATGGGTGTGAAATGGTCAGTGGTCAAACTGGTATGAAGTGGTCAGTGGCCAAAGGGCTCCAGGGGCTGTGCTGTCAAAGCCTCGGTGGTCACACAGGTGTCACATCCTTGAGGGTCAAACAGGTATGAAATGCTCAGTGGCCAAACAGGTGACACAAGTGGCCAGTGGTCAGATGTCCACTTCCAAGGGCACATGCCCTGCTCACCACTGCCCACACATTCCTCGTGCTGGGAATGCTGGAGAAGACAAGGGCCAGCCTTTCAAACGCCCTCTGTGGTGGTGCAGGCCAGGGCTGTGAGCAGAGCCAGGGGATATCTGCCATCGTTCTGCTCCCTGCACACTAGTGTGGGTTGTGTGCCACCGGGCTTATCGACAGCCATAATAAAACAAACCAATAAAAGTCCCTTTGACAGGTTGCCAGACAGTAACTTCCAAAATGTATTAATCCTTTTGTAGCAAATCGCTTCTCTTTGTACTCACATCTGTCGCTGGCGAGGCAATTTTGCACAGTTAAATGCCTTGCCAGGAAAACAAAAAAAAAAATAAAGGGGAGCAGGTTTGTGGGAAACTAATATGGACCTGACTCCAGAATAATGCCATGGTTGAGGTGCAGGTTTCATGTTTGGTGGGATAGATCATCCCAAGCATCCTTTTACAGGTTGTGCAGCCTCTTTTCTTACCCGAGAGACCTGGAGCCTTTTCACGTTGATTGTGTTTTTATCCCCTGGTGGAATGTGGATATTGTTTGTTGACACGTATTCCTTATGTGGGGAGCTGTTGGTATTGGCTCCTTACCACAGGACGTGGATTGACTTTTTTGTTTCTTCTGAGTCGTGAAAACATTTTTTTTTTTTTCCGGGGAAACAACAACGCAAAATGTTTGTTTTCAAAATAACGCCTTTGAAATTGTCGCCCCGTAAATTTCCCTCCTTCACCCCCGAGTGACAGGGAGGCACAAACCCTGCAGCTGTCGTAGAAATTCGAGTTGTGTTTGTGGTGCAGCTTCACCGGAGGATGTTGGGTTCGTTGAGGCAGCATCTGCAGCGTTCCCTCTGCTGCAGAAATTTCGGATCAGTAAACATAAATTGTGCTGTGGCATTAACACGTCTGGGATGTTCTTGGGCTTGGACCAGGGAGCAGAGGAAACCCCGCAGCGGGTTCTCAAAATTGGGGTGAAAATGGTCTGTTATTCTCGTGTTGTCTTGGAGATGATGGAAGATGAAGGGCTGCAAGTGGGTGATGATCTTGACCCGTGAATTCTGTCTCATTTAAATAATACTCTCCAGTGCAGCTGCTGAAAGCATTTGGGTGACGATCCATTGCCTTGAGACAGCTCCAGGTGACTGTAGATGGGACTCATGGAAGCCACTGAGCTGTCAGATAGACCTTTGCTTGCTTTTGGTTTGTGTGTCTTGTTCCTCGCGTGTTTGTTCCCCTCTGAATCTTAAACACTTAGAAAAATAGGGAGTCAAAAGAAAAATGATAGGAAAACCTGGATGAATTTCGGTTGTCTTAGTAAATGTTGATAGCAAACATGGGGGTTTTTTCATCATCTTGTCTGCAAGCTGACTTTTTTTTAGAATAGCCTGAGCTGGGAGGGACCCACAAGGATCATCCAGTCCAACCCCTGGCCCTGCACAGACACCCCAACAATCCCACCCTGTCCCTCAGAGCGTTGTCCAAACCCTCCTGGAGCTCTGGCAGCCTTGGGGCCGGGACCAAACCCTGGGGAGCCTGTTCAGTGCCAACCACCCTCTGGGGGAAGAACCTTTCCCTGATACCCAACCTAAACCTCCCCTGGCACAGCTTTATACTTTTCATTGTTGCAAACAGACAATTCTAGAGGTAGTTGCCCCTAACCAGAACAAAACTGTTGTCTGTAGTTTCTACCCAATGTGCCTGGAAATGCCCTCCAAAGCAACCTCTTTTCCGTGTGTTCTGTGAGTGGCTCTTAGGCCTGACCTGCAGGGACACTTCTGGGTTTCCCTGTGGTTGTTCTGCAGTCCTGGTGTTCTTTCTCTTCTTCCCACTGCTGCTCCAGGGCTGTGCAGAGCTGGGATCTGGCTCCTTGTGTTAGGAGAGCAAATGTTTTCCCGGAGAATCGGAGCCTCCTGGAGAAGCCAGTGATCGGGAACTGACTTTGCAGTTCTGCACATGTTGTTGTAATTAAGGCACAGCCTTTTCCTGGATCCTGAAATAATGGAATAAATAATTGTGCTCAGAAGCAGTGGATGTGTTGAATGGTTTCCAGCCATGAAAGACAAGAGTTATTAAGGATTGGAACAGAGTTGGGCTGGGGATATGGAGCTGCATCATGGATATGTTATGGAATTGAGCAGTCCTGTGTTTTATGTACCTGTGCTGAGTCCAACTTTGCTCCTTGGAAGCTGCAGGAAAAGGTGCAGGAATGTTGTATTTCCTTCTGAACTTTGGTTACAGTTTTTAATTTACTGCTTCACCACTTTTCCCCGTGCCAGTTCATTCCCAAGGGTGTCTTCTTCCCCAACTCATGATGGGATGGCCCTGCCTTTATTCTGCAAGCCAGGGCTTTCCTGCTGACTCCATCTGTAGACATGATGCTGTTTCTGTGATGCAGGATGTCCAACTGTGCCCTGACATTAAGACTCAACCCTTGGAAGTGCTTTGTAGCTTCTATTTTTATTCTGCTTGGTGGGAAATGAAGCAGGGGCATTACAGGCTCAGGCTCGTTAATGTGACAGTATCTCCCAGCAGTGAAATTTAGAAAAGGTGATGTTTGTGGTGTGGTTTCTGTGTCATCAGCTGATTTAGTTACTTACAGCCACTGATTCTTTCCTCAGGGGAAAGCTCAGAGGTCACTTCCCATCACTGAGGTTGTTGATTGTAAGGTTAGAGCCACAGAAGAACACACAGTGCAATTCCATTAATTCTTTGATGATTGAAAAATGACAACTAACGAATCCACCTAAAATTAAAGCTTTAGTTTGTGATGTCTGGGCTCTCATGACTGAAATTGTGACAGCTGTGTGGGATCCAAATGATTCATAATGAATCTGCGTGACAGATCCTACAAGAGGAATTCCTATCTGTCTGCTTTTAAATATTTGATATTTCCAGAGCTTTGCTTGTAAAACACTTATCACTAACTTCCAAAAATATGAATTATGATCCAGGCATTGCCATAAGTCACGTGTTTTAATTTTGCTGTATAATAACCTACTTTGAGACTTGGTTGCTGCTGGTTCAGCTCTGGTCCAGGGTAGGATGTGATGCTGGGACATGATTAGAGCAGGAGAGGTTCAGAGGAAGAGCTGAACCATCTGAAATAGAGGGGCTTTCCAAAAACTGATAAATATTCCCCCTCTGCATTGTTGTGGTTCCTTTGCTCTGTTCAGTCCCCGTGTCCTGGGCTGTGCAATCCCTGCCCATGGAATTCCAGAGTGTGTCTGTCCTGCCATCCTTCTGGGTGAGGTTCAACTCCTCATTCTTTCCATTGTGTGAACTAATACTCCTTTGATTATACTTCTTTAGGGAGTACTCTTGAGGAGTGGCTTTTTTTGAACATTCCTTTGGTATCAGCAAAAGAACTTCCCTTTCAAACTGCACTTTTAGGTGCAGCTGTTTCTGCGCAGAAATTGGGTTTTCTTGGTACTCGGGGTGTTGAAAACGAGCAAGAAAATGTGATTTAAAGCACTAGGAATCCAGTTTGGGATTGGGATTGTGAGCTGAACGGGGCAATTTTGGATAGAAGAGGAAGATGAGAAGCACTGTTTTGTGCCTTTTCTCGTGGAGGGAATGCACCACCTCTCTTTTCACCCT